ATGTACACTATTTACATTATTCGGACTATTGTCCTCATCTTTCTGTCTATATTTATATCAGATGAGGTATTATGTACACTATTTACATTATTCATTATTGTTCATCTTTCTGTCTATATTTTTCATATGAAATAATGTACACTATTTACATTATTTCGGACTATTGTCCCCATCTTTCTGTCTATTTCTGATGTAATTAAAAGCTTTCACACGATTCAACATTATTCGGATCTATTGTCCTCATCTTTCTGTCTATATTTCTGAGATGAGGTATTATGTACACTATTTACATTATTCGGACTATTGTCCAATCTTTCTGTCTAATTTTTCCCAGATGAGGTATTATGTACAACCATTACATTATTCGACTATTGTCCTCATCTTTCATCTATATTTAGATGAGGTATTATGTACACAATTTACATTATTTTACTATTGTCTTTATCTTTCTGTCTATATTTTTTTAAGATGACAATGTTTGATATTTTATTGATTTTACACATTATTATATAAAAGTAATTACATGTTTTTTAACTTTTGATAAATGACACATGACGAACATTACTATTGAAACATTGTCCTATCTATTCTCAGATATTTCACTTCTAGATATTAAAAACAAATATTTTGCATTATTCAAACCCATAGCACATCTTAGATATTGATGAGTTCCATTAAAACACAAAATATTTCTTAAAATAAGTTATATCCCCAAGATCTTTTTAAACTGATTTTTTAATTAAAATTATCTCCTCTTTTGATTATTTATTCAATTGGACACCGAAGTGGTTAATTTGACATTGCACTGTGTAAAAATCTTTGCTATATATAAACATAATATATAATGCATTTCTGAACTAGAAATTTATGGATATAGCTATTGTATCTTTTTGAAAAGATATGAACTATTATAGTTTGTCACATTTGACATTGGCAATTAAAGAATTTACCTGGAAATTTTGACCTTGGAGCACTAAAATTTTTTTATATATGAAATTTTTTGTCATCTTTGATGTATAAAGTCAAATTATGATGTAGCGAACCTCATCAAAAAATATATTTAAAAAATATCTTTATATATCTTTAAAACAAAAAAAAATTTTTGTGTATTTTACATTTTTCGGCACCTTTAAATGAAATTAAAAAACCAAAAAAAAACAACCGTCACCCTAAAAACAACGAAATATTGATAATAACCGTAGGTATATTAAACAAAAATAATTTGATCAGTAGTTTAAACACCACGTTAAACGATTTATACGAAGGCGACAGAAAAAAAAATTAAAGTGTTGATTAACTTTGAAATTACTCTGTAAAGAATCCCCATGTGTCAGGAAATAAAGCCCAACGCACGAAATGGAGCTTAAAATTTATTAGAGTTGCGCACTTCGACTTTCCAAAGTAAATTAAGCAAAAGAGGAGAAAGAAAACTTCCATCAGTACTAGAAAAAGCGATAGCAGAGAACTTGAAAAGCCTTTTTGTTTTTTTAAATAAACCTCTTTTAAGAGAAAGATTCATATTATTTTATTTTGACCATTAACTTAGGAACAAACGAAGGATGGGGTTTTTGTTGTTTCTCCTCAATTAAAAAAAAAAGATATCTATTGAGAAAAGAAACTTTAATTGGAGAAACCATTTTGCAGAATATAGACTGCGCTTGCTGGAATTAGGTTTTGGATTTCCTGGAAAGATGAGGGAACCACGGATTTTGTTGATTCGTTGTTGAGTTCAATTCTTTATCAAACCCAAAGCTCCAACTACATCAGGAACAGTTTCCAGTTTTAAAGTACCACGTGTTTTCTATTTCAGTCTATCTATCTATCTATCTATCTATCTATCTATCTATCTATCTATCCCAGTCTCCCTCTGTCTCTCTCTGTCTGTATCTCTATACAAAAAACAACTCATTTACATACATATATTCATATATATATATATATATATATATATATATATATATATGTGTGTGTGTGTGTGTCTTTTAGTCTAGAGCCATTCGTTAATCTCTTCTTCCGCCGTTTTGAAAAGTGTCTCATTCTTATCTATCTATCTATCTATCTATCTGTGTATATATCCCAGTCACTCTCTGTCTCTAATGTCTCTCTCTCTGTCTGTCTGTCTCTCTCTCTCTCTCTCTCTCTAAGCCTCTCTCTCTCTCTCTCTATATATATATATATATATATATATATATATATATATGCCTATTCTAGAGCCAATTGTTAGTCTCACCTCCAACATAGCTTCAAACTGTCTCATCCATAGCATCTATCTATCTATCTATCTATCTATCTATCTCAACATATTTGTGTATATATCCCAGTCTCTCTTGTCTCTCTCTTTTCTCTCTCTCTCTCTCTCTCTCTCTATATATATATATATATATATATATATATATATATATATATTTAGGCTGCTATTCTAGAGCCAGTTGTTAGTCTCACCTTCGACGTGGCTGGAAAGTGTCTCATCCTTATCTTTCTATCTATCTATCTATCTATCTATCTACCTATCTATCTATCTATCTGTGTATATCCCAGTCTCTCTCTGTCTGTCTGTCTGTCTGTCTGTCTCTCTCTCTCTCTATATATATATATATATATATATATATATGCCTGCTATTCTAGAGCCAATTGTTAGTCTCACCTCCAACATAGCTGAAACTGTCTCATCCTTATCTATCTATCTATCTATATATCTATCTATCTATCCCAGTCTCTCTCTCTCTCTCTCTTATATATATATATATATATATATATATATATATATATATATATATATATATATATATATGACTGCCATTCTAGAGAAAATTGTTATTCTCACCTCCGACATGGATGAAAACTGTCTTATCCTTTAATCTATCTATCTATCTATCTATCTTATCCCATCTATCTATCTCTCTTTAGATCTCTCTCTCTGCATTCTCTATATATATATATATATATATATATATATATATATATATGTATATATGCCTGCTATTCTAGAATTGTATTGTTAGTCTCACCTCCAACATAGCTGAAACTGTCTCATCCTTTTGTCTATCTATCTATCTATCTATCTATCTATCTATCTATCTATCCCATCCCTCATCTCTCTCTCTCTCTCTCTCTCTTTCTATATATATATATATATATATATATATATATATATATATATATATATATATACTGCTATTCTAGAGCCAATTGTTATTCTCACCTCCGACATTGCTGAAACTGTCTCATCCTTATTCATTCTATCTATCTATCTATGTATCTATCTATCTATCTATCCCAGTCTTTCTCTCTTTCTTCTCTCTCTCTCTCTCTATATATATATATATATATATATATATATATATATATGCCTTTTTTTCTAGAGCCAATTGTTATTCTCACCTCCGACATGGCTGAAACTGTCTCATCCTTACCTATCTATCTATCTATCTATCTAAAGCTCCATTTCTGAATGCTTCCATTTGTGATCGTTTGGCTTAGTGCACGATCTGTCATATAACATATCCTCACCAATCTCGGTTCAAAATAAATATACCGGCATACACATGCGACAAGAATTTGCACAAGCAAGTACGAGAATGCACCCACCAACACCTACATCTGTGCACACATATCTCTCGATAAATGTATTCACACATACAATTCAGTGTATGAAGACACGCATGCACACATACATGAGGAAATCGTGACCGAAATAAAACCTTGACAGTCCAATCTAGACTTTCCATTGCCTTTCGTATATGACTGAAGTCGGAAGTCTCCCTTTTAGTGGGCACTTAGCGACTGCTATGATTGTCATTTCCTTCTCTCAATCGCCCTCTCGAACAAGAGCATTACGCTCAGGACACTTTTAACTCGGCTTTTGTCTGCATGTGTATGATGCGAAAGGGATTGAAACATTTTAACCCATCTTTGTATTTATTTTACTATATCACCTTTCCTACATCAGTTCGTCGCTGGAATTTATTTTCTTTCCTTTTTTCTTAACAGGCCGGCCATTGTTTATTTCTTTCTAAGTGCGCAGTTTCTTCATTTCTTTTTTTCCTTGTTTGTTGGTTTCTTTCTTTCTTTCTTTCTTTCTTTCTTTCTTATCATGCCGGCCATGGTCTGTTTCTTTCTTTCATTTTCCTCACGCATGTATTTGTTTCATTTTCTTTTTTTTTCTTTCTTTCTTTTCTATCTTTTTTTAAGTCGATTATATTTCTCCCTATTAAAATGATTCACACTTTCTTTTTTTCACAAATTTGGGTTATATAATTCTTTCTTTCTTTCTTTCTTTCTTTCTTTGTTTCTTTTTTTTTTATTTAGGTTCTTTTTTTAATTTTTTTCTTTTTTTTTTTTTTCTTTTTTATTTTTCTTTTTTCTTTTTTTCTTTCTTTCTTTCTCATCGTACTGGTCTGTAGTTCTTTCTTTTCTTTTCTTTCTTTCTTTCTTTCTTAGTTTCTTTTTAATTACGCGGGTGTTTCCTTTTTTTCTATCTTTCTTTATTTCTTTCTGTCTTTCTCATCGTACTGGTCTGTAGTTCTTTCTTTCTTTCTTTCTCATTTCCCAGATTGCTCTTTCTATATTTCTTTTTTTTCATCACATAAGTGTCTCTCTCTTTCTTTCTTTCTTTCTTTCTTTCTTTCTTTTTCATGACGTAGTTCCTTCTTCTTTCCTTTCTTTCTCATCATCCTGCCTTTATTTCTTTTTTCATTAGTCAATCCGTCCTTAGACCTTTTCGTCCTTTTTAACTTCTTTCTATTAATCTCTAATATATGGTTATTTTCTTTTTAGTCGCCATCTGTCTTAGCAGACGAATATTTCTTTATCTTCAACCTTAGGTTCTTTCTCTCTCACTATCTAAAGTGCCACATTTTTTCTATTTCCGTTTGCCTTTCTCATCTTTTCTATCTCTCTCTCTCTCTCTCTATCTATATATATATATATATATATATATATATATATATATATATATATATATATCAGTCTCCCTTCCTTTCTCTCTCATTCTTTCAAAGATGGAGCGTTTGTTCTTTACTACAATTTCATATTCATGCTTCATTTTTTTCTTTTTATTCATTCTCTGTTTTGTCACACACTCTTTCTTTTTTTTTCTCATCACACAGGTCTCTCATTCTTTCTTTCTTTATGAACATTCAGGTCTCTATCTTTCTTTCTTTCTTTCTTTCTCATCGCACATGTTTCTCCTTTTATATTTCTTTCTTTCTCATCCTGCAGGTCTCCCTCTTTTTTCTTCCTTTTTGTATTTCTTTCGTTGTTTCTGTTTACCTTTCTTTCTTTCTCATCGCATAAGTCTCTCTTTCTGTCAGTCTTTCTTTTGTTCTTTTCTACATTGTCGTATTCGGATATTACTTCTATTTCTCATTACATTGGTCTCTTTTTCTTTCTATCGCATTGTATTTGTCTATCTTTCTTTCTTTTTCTTTCTTTCTTTCTTTCTTTCTTTTCTACATTGTCTTATTACTACATTCTTTCTCTTTCTCATTACATAGGTCTCTCTTTCTTTCTGTCTTTCTTTCAAATCGTATCTATCTATCTATCTATCTATCATTTGTTCTTTTCTACACTCTCTTCTTTCTGTAATCTTTCTCTTTCTCATTACATACGTTTCTCTTTCTTTCTCGTCGTATCTATCTATCTATCTATCTATCTATCTATCTATCTATCTATCTATCTATCTCTTCTATCTATTATCTTATCTATTTTGTTCTTTTCTTACATCTCTTCTTTCTCTTTTCTCTTTCTCATTACATACGTTTCTCTTTCTTTCTCGTCGTATCTATTCTATCTATCTATCTATCTATCTATCTATCTATCTATCTGTCTCTATCTATCTATCTATCTATTTTCTATCTTCTTCTATCTATCTATCATTTGTTCTTTTTCTACACTATCTTTTTCTATAATCTTTCTCTTTCTCATTACATACGTTTCTCTTTCTTTCTCATCGTATCTATCTATCTATCTATCTATCTATCTATCTTCTATCTATTATCTATTATTATTGTTTTCATGCTTCTTTTCTATATCCTTTTGCAAAAGCTCATTACATGCAATTCATTCTTTCTTAATTCTTTCTCTCTTTCTTTCCTTTTCTCATTTCATTCTTATCGTATATGCCTCTTTTTATTTCTGTTGTACTTTTCTGCAATGTCATATTATTCTCTTCATTCTTCTCGTTTCTTTTTTCGTTCTTTTTTTTTTCCCCCCATTTTTAACATAAAATTTATTTCTTTTGCTTTTGGATCCCCCCCCCCCTTTCAATTTCTCTCTTTCTCTTTCCGTCTTTTCAGTTATCATTCGGCGAGACAGAAACAGGAAAACGGAGGTCGTCCCAGACTTTCTCAGCAGCATTTATTACCGTAAAACGACATCGATGGTCAGCGTGTAAAAAGCATTTTACAGGTTCCATTTCCGGAACCTTTTCATATTACGTATTCTTCAAATGAGAAAGCCCAAAAGAAACTCTTTTAGAAAGAAATAAACGATTCACAGTATAGAGAAAAGCAGTAATCAAATTATCGCTCGTTGTCTCAGAATGTTCTCATACGGACGCCATAAAAATGTTCAAATATTTTACAGCGAGAAGCCAGAAAACACTGCCGAGTGGTTATTATGAAATCGCTCCCTTACTAAAAGATTTACCCAAAGAGAAGAACGTCCTGGGTATGACGATAAACTATATCCGCGTTCTGGGTAAGACGATAAACTACGTCCAACATCAAGCCTTCTGATGGGGAGGTTTTGAGGAGCGTGGAACCACCTTTTAATTGCTGGTGTTCCCAGGTCCACCCTGACCCGGGGTGGTAGCACCTGTTAGGGCCCCAGCTACGGGGAAATAGTTAACACCCAAACTTGTGTAAAAACAGGTTTTAATACCAGAAATATTTTGTAATAAAAAAATTATTACCAGAAATAATTTTTGAAGGAAAAATTATTATCAGCAATAAATTTATAAAAATGCCAGCAATACAGTTATACATTCTTTGGAAGAAATATGACCAGCTCTAGATTTCTTGAAGGAAAAATATTCCCAGAAATAGATTTTTGAAGAAAAACATTACCAGGTATAAAAATATTGTCGACATTAAATAACCCATTGATATGCCGTAAAACAAAGCAAACCAAACCAAACTAATCCAAAGAGAAGATTAAAACTCATAAAACCTGAGTGTAAACCCAATATAAATAGTTATATTTGACTAACAGAAGAGAAATCGTGGTTGATTTCTACTAATATTTCGACGTCTGTTTACATCATCTTCAGAAAGAACCACTGCAGACGTTAGAAGAAACTACTATTAAATATGGGAAACGTGCTACGAAAGAGTGTTGAACTGCTATGTTTTATCTAATCTCCTATAAGGTAAAGAGCTAAAAGTTACGAAAAGCAACAAAAGACAAGAAATTGTGGAGAGCCACGTTTTAAAATAATATTGGACATAAAAGACGTACTAGGTTGGCCAGAAATTCATGACTCAATTAGGAAGCGAAAAAAAACCAACAAATCTTGGTATCAGTCTGGTGGAATTTCCAAGGAGCACTGCATTTCAAGCCTGTTCCACATGGCCGCGCTATCAATGCTAAACTTTACTGTCAGCAGCTAGACCGCGTGAATGACAAACTAAAGAAGGCGTGTCCTGCTTTGGACAATCGAAACCGGGTTTTGTTTCAGCCAGACAATGCGAGGCCACAGACTCAGGAGAATAGATAGACAGTGTTGAGACTCTTCCACATCCACCACCCAGCCTCGATGTTGCTCGGAGTGACTATAGCTAATTCCGTTCAATGGTACACTTCCTCCGCGATCAGCATTTCAACATTTTTGATGAAGTGAAGGAAGCTTTGTTTTGAATATTTTTTTTTCTTCAAAGCTAGCGGATTGGTATCTGGCACAAATGATCGCCGAGAATGATGGGCTTTATTTTGAAGAATAAATTTTGCTCCATAAAATTTTCTTGTCCATTCTAGCTCTTAATAAGTTTTGTCTTTTTATTATTTCTCCTAAACCCTGTTCTGCCATCCATTTGCTCAAGCTCATCAAGTATGTTACGCGCTGTTTTCCTCTGTACCTCTTTCTTTCTATCTGTCCTGTGAGTATCAGATTTTCCAAGCCCTCCTTCCTCATTACGTTCTCCAGAAGTTTCAACTACCTCTTCCTGATGTCAAGTATAAGTTTCCATTTTGATTCCATTTCTCTAAGATCTCGACACCAACACATATGATTATAGTGTCGAAGGCTTTGTGTAGAACCAACCACATTTTTGAAGGCCCGAATTCAGAGACCTGGTACACTATGTGCCACAAGGTTCCAAAACGACCCTCCACCAGTTTTGAATTCACAATTGTCCTTCTCCTAGACCAGTTGCTATCCAAGGCTATAGAAACCAGTCTTTTCTGCTATTTGCCCATAGCTGGAGGGTGAAGAAGAGGATTCATACCTTTCCCATGGGTATTAGCACGTAAGTGAATGTAATGGATTCGACTGGAATTCGAACTCAGCACTATGTCATCAAATATGTTACGTGCTGCTTTTCTCTGTCCCTCTTTCTTTCAATCTGTCCTGTGAGTATCAAATTTTCCAAGCCCTCCTTCCTCATTTCAAAAGAAATTTCAACTGCCTCTTCCTGATGTCAAGTATAAGTTTCCTTTTCGTTTCTATTTTCTCCAAAATTTCATCGTTGGTCACATGTTCGTTCCATGGTATCCACAGAATCTTTCTGTAGAACCATATTTCTGTTGCTTCAAGTCTCTTCTTAATCTTTGAGGAGATTGTCCGGTATTTGCTGCCATACGGGAGAACAGATATCGCGTAACTGTTCAATACTCATTTCTTTGTTTCAAACGAGACTTTCCTGTCTAATAATACTCTGCTTGGCTTTTGGAAAGCATCTTTTGCCATTCCAATGCGTCTTCGGATCTCAGTGTCTGACTTTCCATTCTCTGTTAAAACATTTCCCAGATATTTAATTGTTTGTGTTTGACTGATTTTAGCATCTCCGATGTATAATTTGCATTTTGGGCTCACCGTTTTGCTAACAACCAAGAATCCTGTCTTCTCGCTTTTTTTCACTACCTTCTGTATGAGCTTTAGTAGTTTTGTTTCCGTATCTGCTATCAATATTGTCTCTTCTTCATATATAAAGGTCGTTTCAATAACTTGGACCGATTTTAAATGTGAATTAAGTTTAAGCGTCTAATGATTTTTTCTTTTTTTTTTCAGGTTTAACAACTTAAGTCCTTCGCAATTTCAACGATAGAAAGATTAACAATCAAAAAACGTGTTAAAGTTATCGAAGCTTATTACGAAAAATGGGCGTTCAAACAGAAATGCAATGAGAAGTTCCCAGGTCGCATCATCTCCCGAAACAGCGAAGTCAATTGACCACCATGACATGTGATTTGGTATCTATACCGATGACACAGCCATTTACTCCTGTCTCAGTCTAATGTAGTCAAATAGGTGGCTGATGTCAAAAATGGCCTTCAGTCTGTTGTTAATTGGGGGGGCAAAAGATGGATTGTTAATTTTATCCCCTCCCAACCTAACCTGTTCTATATTAATCATCTGGGAGCCTTCTGTCTGCCTTTCAACAATATTGCTGATGCTAACCTCCGGGAGATTGATTCGTTTCGCTTTCTCTCTCTAACGTTCTTGGTTGATATGAAGTGGGAAGACTCTATTGAAACAATTTCTAGAGCAGCTACTAAGAAAGTTGGTTCACTGTGTTTTTCTAGACAATTTCAATCTGCCTCTTCCTAATATTAAGGAAATTGTCCGACATTCGCTGCTGTTACAATATTTATTTCTGTAAAATTACAGAAAATGTGGCACAAGGCCTAAAAAGGGGGGGATGGAGAAAAGGACAGTCTTTATCTGAATTAATTTAAAACTTAGCTAGCCACAAGCACTGACCCAAGTATACAAACAATATTTCGAAAAAATACCACATTCTTACTAGCCTTTCTTACTACATCCACCATAATATCTCATTGTCTCAATGAAAATCCTAAATACTCCTCATATGTACAAATCGTCGTATGTGGTGGGGGGAGAATAAAACAACAAATAAAAGGATCCCCAATGAGTATATACAATATGAAATAATTTGCTGCTGTTACGTGATATCTATCCAGGAGGATATATATCATGTAACAGTTCAATACTCATTTCTTTGTTTCTAACGAAGTTCGTCTGTCTAATAATACTTTGCTTATCTTTTAGAATGCATCTTTTTGCCATTCCAATACGTCTTCGGATCTCAGTGTCTCACTTTCCATTCTCTCTTCCCAGATATTTAAATTTCTCTACTTGTTTGATTTTTGTATCCTCGATCTGATTTTTTTTCCATGCTTCTCTTATCTTCATTATTTAAATAATGGGAGTTAGATTCTATAAGCGTTCTTTCCTTATTTCTATTGCTTCTCTTTGGAATCTAACTTTGACCAATCCAATAACTCTTCAGATCTCAGTGTCGCGTATTCCATCCCCTGTTAGAACACTTCCCAGATATTTAAATTTTTGTACATGTTCGATTTTTAGTAACCCTGATAATGAAATTTTCGCTTCTTCGCATTTAGATAATTTTTGATCGATCGAAATAAGTTGTAATCGGAGGCGCAAGTGAACTTAATTACACATCGGGTCTAGTTGGGCATTCCAGCCAAGTTCTTCTAATTTCTCTCGAGTCTGCAAAGGGAAATGAAGTCAGGCGGATAGACCTCACTGCCCAGTAGTCTTTCGCGAGATAATCTCGTTAGCCATTACACTACAAAGGACTTCTTAATGAATTACCCCGTGTCTCTTTTTACATAAAGTGGGCATTCAGATTAAATTATTGTCTTTCCTCGTGAAGTAGAAACTTTTATTTACACATTTGGACACCCACGTAGAGAGGAAGTTGTTATTCTATCTTGAAATCAAGTGTTTCGTAAAACAAGTCTTCCCTATTTTATGACCGGCAGGTAAATCCTTGAAGTCGGCTCTTCAACGTGACATCCACGTTGGAAACAAACGAATAAGTAAGGCATCTTTTGGGAGTCAAGTGACAACAAAACCGGACATAAAGATTTTACGGTTGCTGGTCTATATTAGAAGCTACAGTTAATATCGGGGGCGTCCGTAATTGATGCAAGTCGACGGAGACACAACTTAAGTGGACAACTGATTGTAACATTTATTTAAAACTAGCAGCATAGCCCGGCGTTGCCTGTGCTTGATTAAAAAATCATACGACTCATACAGCAATAGCTATCACTTGACTTAAAATATTTTTGCCCTTCCTTGCCTTTAAAGGAGTGCCCTTTGCCGTACTGATGTTTCTACATGCCTTACTTCTTGTCTATCTCACACTGCGAATTTTTTCTAAGGTCTATACTAAACATTAAATCTGTTACGAAAAAAAACTAAACAAAATGAACACAAAACGATCAGCTTTAAAAAAAAAGGACTCGTAACTGGAAAAACCGAATGAAAAAAGAATGTTAACAACAAATACTTTTTTCACACCCAACCCAGTTCTGCGGAATCAGAATCAAGTTGAGTTTAAGCAAGCCAGCCAATTGGAGTAAAGTGCCATGCAGATTTAAATTTTTCCACTTGTGACGAATGCAGCTATCGATTTTTTTTTTGCATGCTAGCATGCTAAAATTCGTGTCAGTCAGCTGTTGGCTCTCACGCTGGCCAATAGAATCTTCCTGCCTATTCATGGCAGCCAGCTATAGGCTCTCACTCTGGCCAGTAGAAAATGGCCGCAAACTACATGAAAACTGCCGTAGAAGCATTAAAAAATCGATTATTTCCACTATCGATGGGAGTTGGGAAATGCAAAAGTCGGTCTTGGCCTTCCCGCTAACTTGGAGCATGTGCATGTAAATTTTGGTGCAAATCCGTCGAAAATTGCGGCCGTGCATTCGTTACACACACACACACACACACACACACACACACACACACACACACACACACACACACAAAATTCCTGCGTTTAAGAAGAGATTATAAAAATAATATAGGTTTCAGGATAAGAAATTTTAATGGGACGATTTGCAGAATTTGTCATTCGCTGTTGTTAATTCTTATGTAATACTTAGAGAACATTTTGTCTGCTTATCTAATAAACCAATAAAAATTAAAATATTATTCCTCAAAATGTCACTTGATAAATAAAAAAAAAGATCTAAGTGAAAAATCTAGTGAAAATATCCTTTATTTTTTGTTTAAACTTTCTATCCTCCGGCATAGACGTTCCGTAAAATTTTTTCATTCGTTTTTAGACATTTTTTTGAAATTTCAGTTTTATTAGTTATTCTATTCACATCAGTAAGAGATCTGTGTATTTCCAAGCACTTCGATGTTTTGTTTAATGCCACTTTTTGGCTTCGAAGTTAATTGTTCATACCTCACCCCAAGTTCTTCTTCAACCATTCCTCCGTCCTATGCTTCCTGTCGAAAAACTATCGACAAAGGGAAGATTTCGTCTTCGATTTAATTTGCCATCTTCAATATCTCGTTTTATTTTTCTTGTTTCGCCTTCTTTGCTGCAAAGAAGGATGTTCTTGTTTTGTGGTTTATCAGTGCTGAAGATATAGTTATTAGAAATTAAAATAGAAATGGAAGAATTAAAAAGGACTTTTTGCGAAACCCATGACAGAGTCAGATATAAAAATCACTGAAAATAAAACTGGCAAAATGAGTCAAAAAAATGCTCGTAATTATGAGGCCTATAATAGAGATGAGAAGAATGATTTAAAACAAGAACAAATCGGCTTAGTGGGCAATATTGGTAACAACATTATCATTTATGTATGTAAAGGAATGAGAAAGATAAGATTTGTGATACAATAAACCATAGTCTTTGGAATAAGAAAGTGGAAAAAAAGAAAGAATAAATTGAAAAATAAAATAAAATAAAGGTAAAGGATGAAAACCAAAATTAAGCAAGATAGAAAGACAAAATAGAGAAAATCGAGAAAAAGTTAGTCGAAAAAAATGATGGAACTAAGTTAGAAGGAGAAAATGAACGCGGCTACAAAAATTAAAGAAAAGAAAAAAAAAGTAGGAAAAATGAAAATTTGTAGAGAGAACCTATTTATGAAAAAGCAAAGAAAAGGAATTGAAAAAAATAAAGGAAGCGACAAAATGATATATAAATAAAGATAAATAAAGGATATATAAGAAGGAAAATAAAATAAAATATTAGGAAAATATAGAAAAAAGAACGAAGGAAGGAATAAAATTAATGAAACAATGAAAAAAATAAAAATGTATGAATGAAAAGAACCTATAAAATGAACGAATGAATGCAAAAATGAAATATAAAATGAATGAATGAAATAAAGAAATAATGTATAAAATGAATGATAGAAAGAAATAAAGTATAAAATAATGAACAAAAGAAATAAATAAAGTGTAGAAGGAATAGACGAAGGACATTGTAAAACTAAGGAATGAATGAAGAAAAAAAAAAAAGAAATGAATGAAAGAAAGAAAGTGTAAAAATAATGAACGGATGAAAGAAATAAAGTATTAAAATGAATGAATGAATAAATGAATGAATGAATGAATGAAAGAAATTCTAAAATAAATGAATGAAATTTATAAAACAAATCATGAAACGAAAAAAGTAAAAAAATATATGAAAAAAAACATTATTTCTGACGACCGGGAATATAGGAATATTGAAAGGAACGATAAAAAGAAAAAGAAGAATGACTTCTGTTGCGAAGACATACAATGCAAACAGCAAAGGAATAAATAAGAAAATATATACAAAACTTTAAATAAGAAGAAAAGGTCTTAAATAATGCGATAAAACTAATAAAAGTTAAAAAAAAAAACAAAACATTTTAATGATTCTTATACAGCAAACAAGGCTATAAAATCTAAATAATGCCAAGAGAATTTAAAAATATAATACTAAAGGAGGGTTTAAAATCTAATTGCCTTCCATAGAAGAAAAATCGTCGGAACAATTATTTGTGAAAGTATTGACAGAAAATCCATTCCCGTTAGAAACTATGATCGACAAGGAAATGAATGAAGCAGATATGCCAGATTTGGACAAATAACATTGCAGATTTAAAGAAATAAAAAAAAGAAGAAAATGCCAAAATTAAATAAAAATTGTTAAATAAATAAAAAGAAATGAAATGAAAATCAGGGAGAAAATGAAAGTTCGAAAAAGAGATATTCTTCCACATGTCATGTTACCTGAGACGTTGGGGTCATAGCTCTCCTCAATTTCTTGTGTTTTCTGTTCTTGACCCTTTAAATCCCTCATTGTTTTTATTTCCGCTAAGGACGATACTAAATAAATTAGTCGGGGTTCTCTAGAACTGGTCCCGACCCCGATTCATGGAGGTTTACGGCAATATCAGGTTGAAACACTGCAATAGATACCGTGAACGGAGAGAGAGACGTCGAGTCTGGTCAACACCAAGGTATTGTAAGCTTGGATATGTGGGTGATGTAATAGATAGATTTCGGAATAGATAAATTTATCCTACATTTAGATTTCAATAGATATGTTCGATAGTATTATTCGATTACGTGCAAAGATAGATAGAAAATAGATAATAATAGATATTCTATCATCAGATAGATAGATAGTAGATAGATTGTATCAGTAATTATTATCTGATAAAAGATAGATAAATTCTGATTATTTTTGAAAATTAAATAACCTAAACAGAAAAATTTTGATAAACCGTAAATCAATTTGTGCATGTAAATTATTAAGACTATTTTTCATCATTCCACAAATTGAGTAATTAAGGTTAGACTCATTCTGATTGTTATAAGTTTCAACCTTAGTTTCCATTTTCTTTAAAAATGATAAAGTTATCTTCATATTCATATTATATTGTCTGACGGTACTTAAAATTAAATATAGAACTCTTATATCTTATACTTTAAACAAAGAATTTCTTTATTCTATTTCGGATTCAACTAGCTCGATTCATCGTGTATCGTCAGGTTGCGGGATTAAAAACGCCTCCGAAAATCATTGGATCCCTGATGGTAGAAAAAGAACCAATTCCTGCAGTTCATTATTATGTGTTAATAATTCATGTTTATAGGAAGTCAATGATAGCAGGCTTTTGAATTTAAAAAAAATGAAAACCTGAACGAAATAATAAAATAATTAATTTTTTAAAAAAAAAAAATGGAAGAAAAAAAAAAAAAAAGGACCTGAAACTGAAAAAAAATAAGCAGTGAAAAAAAAAAGCTGAATTCATCATGAAAATATGAAATAAGAAAATCAAAATAGGAAAGAAGTAAAATAAATCTGGGAAATTCACGAAGATAATTTTACGTATGAAACTAAGGGGAGATAATTGTAAAAGAATGAGAAAAAGAGAAGAAACATCAAAGAACAAACTTTAAAAAAAAAAAAATCACCATTCTTATAAATAAATATCTGAATGAAAAAAAAAAAAAAGGAGAAAAAAAAAAAAATTTTTTTCTCAAAGGAGAAAAAAAATATGAATGGCTGGCGTTAAATTCCAAATTTTGAAATGTTAAAATTACGAATCCAACAGAAAAAAAAACTAGAAATGTCATCCAAAGATTAAAAACAACAAAAAAAAAAGACGAGGACAAAAAAAAAAATATGGCTACCTTGACCGAAAAAGAAACGGACAACATCGTTGGTTACTTTCATGAGTGTATGCAGATTAAAATTTTCGGATTGATAAATCGTTTCAGTCGATCCTGGTAAATACTTTAAAGAGAGAGAGAAATTTGTCTAAAGAAGGAAACAGAGGAAAAGAAATCCCACAAAATGTTTAATATCTAAAAAAAAAGAAGAACGCAAAAAAAAGAAATTTTCCAGGTTTTAAAGATAAAAGTTCAATCTCTTGGTGAGACCATTTGTCGATTCAAGAATCAAAGGAAAAACCGTTACTGTCAGCTATTTCTGCGATGAAACATTAAAATCGGTTTACGTTTTGTTGTCCTTATTCATATTTTGCCATATTCACGAAAATTTCATTCGTTTTTCAGTAGCCTTCTTCAGGTGATTGGAATTTATTTCGTTTTCATCTTTAAAGTTCATTTCTAAATAACCAATGCTTCTTCCGAGTGAATGAATTTATCAAAATTTGGAACAACTCTCCAAAAATTTTTGTTCACCACAAAAGGAGGAGAGTATTGAACTCACAACTCTTTGTGTCAAGTCACTGATTCAACTAACGATTTTATCCACCATAAGACGTTTGGCCTTGAGGAAATGCATTTCAGAATTGGAGAAGTAGGAGTTTGAATATAACATAAAAAAAGACTTTTTATAGAAATAGATTTAGTATAACCCAAACTGTCTTGTTAGAGAAAGACTGAGTAAGGTTTATTGGAGAGGGAATGAGAATATGATCATATTGACAGAAAAAGGAAAACTGTCCTGAGAGAATAATGAATAAGAGAATATATATATATATAGAATGTAAGATTTCTCTTTTCATGAGTTTATTTTTGTCTGAAGAGAATGTATGAACATGTCATTTTGGCTTATGATAATATTTGTCAAACCTTTCTAATTTAAGCTTGGAGTCTTTTTTACATTTCACTTTTAAATATGTTTGTCAGTCCAAAGGAAGGGAAAAAGATGTGAGATAAAATTAGATAAACAAAATTAATTACATTAGAATTTCTGGGAGAAAATAATCTAGAACGGTAAATTTAGAGAAATGTTGCTGTTATGTGTGTAAAGAAAATAATTTTTCCAAATACTTAAGACCATAACGAAGAAAAATAAATCATTTCATTAGAATGAAATAAAACCACTATACTGAACTGCATAGATAAAATCAGATATGAACAAAGATGGCAGTGCATGTCGAAATAGAATCAAATAGATGCATAAAAGATAGATGATAGATAGAAATGTTCTGTTTCAGAAAAATTTTGATGAATATTCATGGATGTCATGAATATATGACCAACAACAAAAAGTTTTGAAATTGATGGATCGAAACACTATTTATGACTAGATAGGTACCTCCACTTTTTTCGTGGAAAAAACAGCATAGCATAATGAAAAAAGCCACAAACTTAATAAAAATAAAGTTTTATCGTCAAAATGTTTATGTTATTATTAAGATGAAAGACCAAAGTATTTTTTAATTATTTTTTGAATTTTTTAATCCTAACACGTTCGAAATTTTGGTTAAAATCTTCTTTTGTTTACGTCATCGCGGTGGCATTTAAATAATTTTTTTTTTGCGCTTTTTCCCATTGAAAAGACATTGATTTGAAAATTGTTGTAAAAATCATATAATTGCCAGATTTTAATGACATTTTCAGGACTTATTCACAAATGGATGAAATTATATTTTAAATTTTTTTTTAGAAAATTTTTAAAAAATATTTTTTTAAATATGTTACCCCCACTTACTTAATTTCATGAAATTTCGCAAAAAACTTTTTATTTCCTGAAAATTTTTTTTGTTAAAAGTAGGAGTCCTTGGAGATTGTAAATCGCCTACTTTTTTTTTTTTTAAATTTGATTCTAACTGAAAATCTGCTCTGAATTGAAAAAATAATGAATCCAACAAAACTATGACATTAATTAATTAGAAAAGCTTTTAATTGTTTTTGTAAATGACTAATATTAAGGGCATTATTGTCTGAAGAAATAAAAATTTTCTGATGAATAATGAATTTTTACAAGAATTTTTTCATTTTTTTTAAAAATTTTAATTATAATAATTTATAATAGATTAAAATCGTGTAAAATTCTTTATTAGGCTATTTCCTGGAATTGATATAGTAATTAAGTGGAAACGAAATTTACGAACCCAAAATTGTAAAGATTAATGAACGTAGTTGCGCTATTTTATTTTTAAAATGATTTTTTATTTTGTATTTTTTTACTTAATACGTTCTTTATTTCTATGTATGGTAGACTGAAATTGCCATTATTATGAAAAGGTCACGTGATCTAAGTGTTTTGACCCTTTATTCTAATAAATAAACATAACAGTAAAACTAAAAAAAAAAAAGCGTTCAAAAGTCTCAGATTTCTAAAAATTGTCATTTATGGTCATCCGTAGTAGCTGTCATCGCTTCGTCAATCAACAGTCCATCAAACGTTTGATCAGTTGAACAGGACCAATAGTTAATAATTGGTTGTATATTATTTTTTTATGCTATAAGTAAGTAATATTTCTTTCAAATCAGATTAATTTAACTTTAAATTTTCTAATTTTACTAAAACAACGTGTCAGAAATTTTTTAAAATATTTTTAAAATCGATAAATTTTTGTACGTTTACAAATTTCTTAAAATCAAGAAAATGGCCGTTTTTAAGAAAATTTAAGAAATTGAAATTAAATTTGACATTCCAATGTATATAGTTTCTATCTGAAATACACATTATTTACTTAATGGAAATTTAAACTTTCAATTAAAGCTAAAATGAAATCTTCAAGAATGTTTTTTCGTTATAAAAATCATTTTAAACTTAGGTATCGAAAATTCATGCCGAAAAAGTGGAGGCCCCTAGACTATAAGTAAGTGAAGACTGTAGGGCTTATTGATAAACATCTTTCGAACCCCGTGGACGAGCGTTGAAGACACAGAAACAAAGAACTGTACCAAATAAAAGAAACATTACTTGTATGCTTTCTACTAAAGTGGGTACCACATGGAACTAGAAGAGGGGATAATGGTATTTTTGTTTTACAGTAAGGTTTACTCTTTACAAGGTCAAGAGCCACTCGAGGAACAGGGTCGCGTTAAGGAGGTAGTTTGTTGGGTTAACTCTAGATTTGAACAGGTTAAGATTGTAGTAATCGAGGAGACATCTACTTGGGAATCTGTTACACAGGGCAGTGGTTCGTAGGTAGAAGCTGTTCGAGTGGAACTTCGTTCTCAGGGATGGAATGTGGGTGGGGTTTACTACAATGGCCGGTCCTAATGGTGAAGCTCTGAACCGGTGGAACTTCGTCCGAGGATTTTCCATGGTAGTAGCGATCGAGCAGTGAGATAAATAATTCATCGCCCACAAGGGCACGGAGCTTTTAAAATCTACCGAGACTGGAGATGAAGGACTTTAGCAGCTTCCGCCCAAATATAACCACAGTACTCCATTTTCGACCCGATCTGGCTCTTGTAACGGTAGAGGATAGCATGAGGAGGCTGGTACTTACTCGCGTGGTACAGGGAGCCGGTTATTTTACCTTTAGCGGTGGATCATATGTATGAGTTCCACTTGAGGTCAGGTGTGAGTTTGATGCCCAAGAGTCTCTCTACGCACGATGCCTCCTCGAGGGCACATCAGTTCATCGTGACTGGTGGTAGTTCAGAGTCCGACCGGCGCTGATGAAATCAAGATGCCGACGTTCCACACTGTCTCAAACAAAAGTTAATGACGTCAGGCCTCATCAAATCATCTGCAATTACAACTACTTGAAGCGAGAAAAATATGACTTTTTAAAGAGAAAGATTTAATAAATTCAAACCAACAGCAGTACTGTCTTCTTAGTCTGTAAATCCCGACTATTTACGTATAAAGAAACAGTTAATATATATCTCTCTTTCTCATCTATCTATTCATCTATCGTGGGTCTTTAATATTGTTAACGTTTTCTTTTTTGTTCTTTTAAATACAAATTATTTTAATTCTACCCATCTTTTTTTTATGTTAAATATATATATATATATATATATATATATATATATATATATATATATATATATATATATTTTTATATGTTAAATGTATGTATGTATGTATATATATGTATATGTGTGTGTGTATGTTTAGGTATGTATGCATACATATGTATATAGGTGTATATATGTGTATATATGTATTTATGTGCATATGTATAGTTAGATGGATAGATAGATAGATTGTTTAGATGAGTGTGTGTATGTATATGTATGGAGGTGTCTAAGGTTTTATGTATATACGTTTATGTGCACGTATGTGTATGTCCGTATGTATATGTGTGTAGATGTAGATATATAAAAGAGTGGATGTGTATGGATATATGTATGTATGTATGTATATATATATATATATGTGTGTGTGTGTGTGTGTGTGTGTGTATTTTAAATAAAAACAGACCACTTTAAGGTTCCATGTAATAAATTATTTCACCACAGCCCTGTTAAGGACTGCGGATCATGTTTAAACTTAAATTTCACTTTTTAAACCACTTTTTTGGTCTGATAAAATGATTCAACTGTTTATGACCAATATAAATAAGAATATATATATATATATATATATATATATATATATATATATATATCGATAGATAGATACATATGTCGATAGATAGATAATAAACAGTTTGAGAACATAAAATCAATGGCTACATATTGATAGATCTAAATAAATTGTGACCAAGAGATATAAATCAAAAAAGATAAAGAAATTCGAGGAAACACACACACACACACACACAATACAATATATATATATATATAATTATTTATTTTCTTAATTATGACATGAATATGTTATAAAATCACTAGCGTTTTATGCTTGATTGATTCTGAACCTTTTAAAACTCTTTTTTCTACATTCGACAAAAAAAATCAATTGAGAAGAAACCAAAAGTGTTGAAACAAAATGGCTATTTTTGTAGTGATGTTATAATATGTTTATATTATTATAATTTTTAAATAAATAATTATAA